AAAAAAAAAAAAATATATATATATATATATATATATATATATATATATATATATATATATATATATATATATTATATAGACCAGCTGAAAAAAAGGCATGTTCACTAGCATTAGATCTCTGCAGGACTACAGTCAAATGATAAGGAGATAAAAGATAAATCAGCTGCATATATCTGTGGTAATGGTCTTATACAGGCAGCTGATATAAGACCAGCTGATATAATGGTCTTATATCAGCTGCCTGTATAAGACCATTACCACAGATATATGCAGCTGATTTATCTTTTATCTCCTTATCATTTGACTGTAGTCCTGCAGAGATCTAATGCTAGTGAACATGTTTTTGTTTTTTGTTTTTTTACTATAATATTCTAAAGAGGCAACTGATCTGCCTTGTAGATTGGAGGTTTGGGTTAGCAATGGAAAAGAACATTTACTATATAAATGACAGCTGAAATTTTTTTTTCCTCTCTCTGTCTTTCTCTCTAATTCAGATCATACACTGTTTATTCTGTATGGATGGATTTCTTTTGCAAAGGACAGAGTTTAGTCTTATTTTTAGAGTTTCCATAGCCAGAGTGTATAGTAATACTTCCAACTAGAAAATTTCTGAGGAAATTTAAATAGGGCCTGCCAAAGTGTGCCCGCCTGATGCTACAAATTAGCATCAATGCTAAAGTAAGCTGCAATGTACTCAAAAGCATGTGGAGAGTCACAAACATGCTGAGTAACATGGACCTACTCCATTCTGTATGTTAAAATTAGTGTACAAGTTAAAATGAGCCAAATTGCTAACATTAGCCTAAATGCTGTCACTAGCATGTTGTTTTACATTTACTTCCTCCATTCAGTGTACTAAGTGTGACTAATAAATAAGAAAAACAGATAAAAAATATTTTTAGGGAAAAGGCTAATGCTAATGGGGAGCAGTGAAATGCTAATATGTGTGCTAATGTGTATTAACCGACAAAAGAGATGTAACGTCTATCATGAATATAGATTATCCAAAAACCCTATAAATTACAATGAAATACTGTTACTTCCACTAGCCGCCAGAAGTAAGACCCATAATTGTTTCCCCAGTTAGCCTCCCAGGAGTAAGGTGGATAGAATGTTCAGTTCCAATGGTACCAATGACATCAGCAGTGATGTCATCACTCTATGATATCACAAGGGAATCTCTCTCTTGAATGTAGCTGGCAGACAGAGTTTTCTCTGATCTGTTCCACAGTTCTATCGCGACAGATCACCCTTCAGAGCACGTTCGAAGTTCAGAGAAGCAAGAAGTTACGAGAATACAGATATGAAGCAACAACACATTGTTTGCGAACATGAAGCTTTTCCAGCTAAGCTTTCATGGGTCGACATGGTAGACCGCAACATCCAAGTCGACTATGACGCTGTCATTTTCCCTGATGAAGATGACAGCCCCATTGAGCCGGAAGTTGAATCAGAGATCCAGGGGGAATCAAGCCCTTCCGGTGACTTTGAGAGTCCAACATCTTTGGAAGTCAAGCAGGAAACAACACCCTCTACTGGCTTCAAGATCACCCCCTCAGTGGAAGACGTGGCAGAGACTAGCCAACACGTCAAAGATCTGACTAAGCAGGTACACGATCTTAAAACAGAACTGCAGAGAAAGAATTTTGAACTCCATGAGGAAAGAGACAGAAGGATTGCATGTCAGGCTGAAGTCAAATCCCAGCAGGAGGAGATTCAAAGGCTGCAAAAACTGTTGGAAAAAGAACGTCACCTGCAAGTCAATCGTGAACAGGTTTCTTGCTCTACCAAAGTTACAACTGACAAGAACGTTCTTCAACAGCTGGAGTACTTCAAGTGGGAGGCTGCAAAATACGCCTCCCGCAATAAAGGTCTGATTGAAGTAATGGTTGAAGAATACCGAGTGAGACTTAAATATGAGGAGCAGCTCAAAAGTCACTCTGAGCAGGCTTCCAAATTTAAGGCTCAGGAGGAAATGGTGAAAGCTCTGCAGGATCAGGTTGCGGACCTGAAGGTGGAGTTGAAACTTGCTCTAGAAAACAACCATCCTAGAGTCTCCACCCGAACAGAGGTCCCCCTGCAAAGAGAAGGCTCCCTACAAACAGTGGAGACCAAGGATAGACAGACCTCCAATCAACCAGGGAGGTCTGAAGAAAGATGGGCCTCCAATCAACCAGGGAGGTCTGAAGAAAGATGGGCCTCCAATCAACCAAGGAGGTCCGAAGAAAGATGGGCCTCCAATCAACCAAGGAGGTCCGAAGAAAGATGGACCTCCAATCAACCAGGGAGGTCTGAAGAAAGACAGACCTCCAATCAACCAGGGAGGTCTAAAGAAAGATGGACCTCCAATCAACCAGAGAGGTCCGAAGAAAGGCTGACCTTCAATCAACCAGGGAGGTCCGAAGAAAGATGGACCTCCAATCAATCAGGGAGGTCTGAAGAAAGATGGACCTCCAATCAATCAGGGAGGTCTGAAGAAAGACAGACCTTCAATCAATCAGGGAGGTCCGAAGAAAGATGGACCTCCAGTCAACCGGGGAGGTCTGAAGAAAGACAGAACTTCAATCAACCGGGGAGGACTGAGGAAAGATGGACCTCCAATCAATCAGGGAGGTATGAAAGAAGATGGACCTCCAATCAAACATGGAGGTCTGAGGAAAGGCACACCTCCAT